GGAGAACGCCCCAGCCCGGGCAGCCCCATCGGACCCCATCAGCTGAGATGTTCCCCAATGGCACCGCCTCCTCTCCCTCCTCTCCTAGCCCCAGCCCAGGCAGCTGCGGCGAAGGCGGCGGCAGCAGGGGCCCCGGGGCCGGCGCTGCAGACGGGATGGAGGAGCCGGGGCGAAATGCGTCCCAGAACGGGACCTTGAGCGAGGGCCAGGGCAGCGCTATCCTCATCTCTTTCATCTACTCCGTGGTGTGCCTGGTGGGGCTGTGTGGGAACTCCATGGTCATCTATGTGATCCTGCGCTATGCCAAGATGAAGACGGCCACCAACATCTACATCCTCAACCTGGCCATCGCCGATGAGTTGCTCATGCTCAGCGTGCCCTTCCTGGTCACCTCCACGTTACTTCGCCACTGGCCCTTCGGCGCGCTGCTCTGCCGCCTCGTGCTCAGCGTGGACGCAGTCAACATGTTCACCAGCATCTACTGTCTGACTGTGCTTAGCGTGGACCGCTACGTGGCCGTGGTGCACCCCATCAAGGCAGCACGCTACCGCCGGCCCACTGTGGCCAAGGTGGTGAATCTGGGTGTGTGGGTGCTGTCGCTACTCGTCATTCTGCCCATCGTCGTCTTCTCGCGCACGGCGGCCAACAGTGACGGCACGGTGGCCTGCAACATGCTCATGCCCGAGCCCGCCCAGCGCTGGCTTGTGGGCTTCGTGTTGTACACATTTCTCATGGGCTTCCTGTTGCCCGTCGGGGCCATCTGCCTGTGCTACGTGCTCATTATCGCCAAAATGCGCATGGTGGCCCTCAAGGCCGGCTGGCAGCAGCGCAAGCGCTCGGAGCGCAAGATCACCCTGATGGTGATGATGGTGGTGATGGTGTTTGTCATCTGCTGGATGCCTTTCTACGTGGTGCAGCTGGTCAACGTATTCGCAGAGCAGGACGATGCCACGGTGAGCCAGCTGTCGGTCATCCTCGGCTATGCCAACAGCTGCGCCAACCCCATTCTCTATGGCTTCCTTTCTGACAACTTCAAGCGCTCTTTCCAGCGCATCCTTTGCCTCAGCTGGATGGACAACGCCGCCGAAGAGCCAGTCGACTACTACGCCACGGCCCTCAAGAGCCGCGCCTACAGCGTGGAGGACTTCCAGCCCGAGAATCTGGAGTCCGGCGGCGTCTTCCGTAATGGCACCTGCACATCACGAATCACGACTCTCTGAGCCCAGGCCACGCAGGATCCTTGCGCCAGGAGGAGAGGATGAGGAGAAAGAGAGGCCGGGTGTGAGAGATGGAAGTGTCCCAGGCGTCAGGGTGCGATGAGGAAAGTGGGGCTAGGACACTGTGCGCTTCCGGTGAGGAACCCGGGAGAGACGCGTGACAAAGAGTCGGACGCTTTGTTTATAAACAGGGACGGCTTCCGGGCCCCTTTCAGCTCGGTCTCCTACTTTCGCTCCTTCCTCCACCGCGCTTGCACTTCTGCACCCCTCTCTGCTCCCCACTCTGCGATGTTGGTCTTTCAGCCCCGTCCTGCCGGTGCAGTTCAGGAATTTATTAATGTCGCCGGCTCAGCCCGACCCTCAGCCCCGCCAGCTGTTATTTCTGTTTAAGCTGAGCCACGGCCACCACCACGGATTTCCCTCAGGGCAAGTCCCCAGCTCGCCCTCAGCCCCGCCCTGCCGCGCCCCCTCGCTCGCCAGATTCTGACTGACGCCCCTAGAGGAGTCTCAAGAGCCGCCGCTCTCCGTCTCCTCAGCCCTCCTTTAAGGGAAGTCGGACTTGAGAAGGACCTGGGCGGCCGGTCTTTCTCCTCCTCTCGGGTGAAGGCGCGCCCTTCCCCGAGCTCCTCCACCCCCACTCCACCAAGAGCGGAGCCAGGTGCTTAGTAAAATCGGTCCCGCGCTTCGAACCCCGGTCCAACCCCTTATCCAAACCCTGCCTTTGGAGCAAAAGGGAGCTGAGAACAAGCAACTTTCTTTTTTTCTTAACGATTCCGAGATTTGGGAAGGGGGAGAAGGGCTTGTGATGGACCCTCCCGCCCGGTTCATAAACGGCGCTTTTGGTTTCGAAGACCAATTCTCCGGGCACTCCCGGGACGCTGGACCGCGTTAGGCCAGGCAGGACAGGACGCACCCTCCCCACGAGCCGCCCGGGTGCGTGGCTGCAGCTACACTCAGCTTTCTCCCTCGCCCGAGCTTCTGCAGGTGCAGAGCCAAGAGAAACAAGGGGCACCGGGGCCGGGACCTCGGGTGACGCCCTCCGAGTCTCGCTTGGCCCATCTGGACCGCAGTGCTGCCGCCTGCAGGCTAGAGAGCGCGGCCCGCCAGGCCCCTGAGGGCTTCTTCTGTCTTTCAAGCGGTGCCTAATAAGTTATTTTCTTGCCTCACGTATTTATTTATTTATTTGTGGTATTTGAAAAACGTCTCTGCTTTCCCTTTCTCTACTTTCCTAGCCCAGGGCCTTTTCTTCAGGACACTGGGGGTTGGGCGGGCGTGGCGGTGGCAGTGGGGGAAAGCTCTCTTCCCAAGGCCCTCTCAAAACTTCTCTTTGCTAGGCCCTCTTTACTTATCCCTTCCTCTAGCCTTTCTATTTTTTGCTTGTGTCCGGTGAAGTTTGGAGATTTCTTCACACTTTTCTTATGTAGTCTTTTGTCTTACAATAAATGATAATGTGGGTTAGCCTTCTCCCATGCAGAGTGGAAAGTCTTGAACGCCTAGCTTTCAGCATCACCTATATATGATTTGAATATATATATAGTATAGTATTCAAATCATAATAAATCCACATACTATATATATTTGTTTATCTTGCTCCCTTGTCATGAGTCCATGAGACAGTCTCCAGATGCAGTCACTAGCAGTGACAGGTGTGAGACTGGCTAGAACATTTCCAGATAAGAGGGTTGAGGCAGCCCTCAAACTTGAAATTTAGAGATCTGATTCAGACAGACTTTAATCAGTGCTGAGGATGTCCCTGCCTCCTCTAGTTTCAGGCATATGTGATTCTAACACACAATCTAGTTAACATCATCACTTCTTTCAAAGACAGTGAAAGTAGAGTAATTTGTGTCTGTGTTTAATCTGACCAGCTACACTGGAAGCCTGAGCAGGGCAAGGACCAGTCATTTTACTTCTTTGTATTTCCTGTATTGCTTTAGTATGCTGGAGTGTACATAGTAGGCACTACATACATGTTTGTTGGTTATCTGTTTAAGTAAACCAGGGTGTATTACAATTGGGAAATACTAAACCTGGGGTTCTCAGGCTCTCTCACTGACATGATACACAATGGTTGCAATTACTATGGAAACATGTTTCGTGTATAGTTGCTTCAAGAACATCGTGCTTTCCTGAAAGCAGTAAGCAAGAGTTAAAATGCTCCCTAACGTTTTGTTTGAACTAATGCACAAATATGCTTTGGTCATAAATCTCAAAGTTTAGATCTGTCATTTAATAATAATACATATTACTACTCCTTTGGAAAACAGATTTTTAATGGTTAAGAACAGTGAAATTTACAAATCAAAATCTTGATCATTATCCTCTTTAAGAGGACATGAATCTAGTGCTCTTAATCTGTTACCACTGTAATAATAACTAAATAAACAAATATATTATGTTGTTGCAAGTTGTCTGAATTTGCCATTTGAATTTTACTGTTTCAACAGATTATTTAAACACACAGGCATATTGGTTTGGTTGCTCTATGTTTCACTTAGATTTTATGAAGAAAGGTTTCAGATTACCTTTAGATTGAGGTTATACCTTGAATTTTTTTTGTTATTGTTGTTGTTAGTTCAGAGAGAGAACTTTGAGTCAATCTGAATAGGAAGCAGCGTACTTGGCTGCACTCTTTATGGTTTGCTGTTGTCACCAAACTAACTAGATGATGTCTCAGTCTCTCACAGATTAAATTACTGTCTGCCCTCATTTATGACCTGAGACTTTGTTGTGGGAACTAAGTAATTGTTAATTTACATCCCAGGGAAAGATAAATGGAAGGGGGGGGGGAGTGATCTCCCAAAGATGTTTCAGAGGTCAATGGGTAAAGGAAATATAAAAATCAGTTTTCAAAATAAGAGAAGAAAGACATTTTATGCTTTGTTCAATGATGCCCATTTCTATCCCTGGAAGAATTTAATGAGGTACTAGAGGAGTTCATTTGTTTGTTTTTTACAGACTTAATTTTTTTTTAGAGTGGTTTTATTTTCACAGCAAAATAAAGAAAAACGAGTATTTTCTAAACAGTGATTCCAGAACCAGAATGGGGAGTGTAGGCTTCAAATACCTCAAATGCCTTTAACTCTAGGCTTTAGAGTTCCATATGTTATCTCAGTACAACTGAAGATAGCTAGACTTTTGTCTTTTCATTATTATTTTTAAAAATTATAGCAAAGTGGCAAATTGAATTCATAACTTAGATGTGCAGAGAAAACATTTTGTTCTTTTGGTTTTGTCTAATCTAAACATTATTCCAAGCCCCTTCTAACTGGTTAGCTGGGAGAAAAAACTATCAAATAAATATTCAAACATCCAACTGAGCTGATAATTTAAATAGCCATTTTCAGAAAATTTCAAAATTTTATTTAAGTTTAGACAGTCTCTTGGCTGGCCTCCTTTTCCTCTTTCACCTCTAAAATGGCTTTAGAGTGAATATTGGGAGGAAGTTTCATGCATCCTAACGGAGGAGGGGGTGAGGTGGGGTCCTCAGGGAAAGGGGCCCTGCCCTGTCTGCCCTTTGCTCTCTGGGAATAGGTTGTTTGTCAGCCTGGATGATTTCCGGCTGCAGTATGTTGAAAGCTGCAGCTTCCAGAGCCTGTGATCTGACCTCTGAGCTGGGGAGGCTGCAGTCTTCTCACAGTCCTCCGTGGTTCTCCTACAGCCGCCCAGCTGGGGGTCCACCCCGCCTCTGCCAAGGAGTGACGTGGCCCTGCCGTAGGCAGCCGCATGCTGAGCCTCTTGGCTCAGTGACTAGGAGGGATCTAGGGCGGCTCTAGATGCATGAACGTCTGGGTCTCCTCTGTCTGATAACATTTTCTGTGGTTCTGTCTCAGGTCTCTTGCGTCTTTCCTTACCTTTGTCAACCCCGTTTACTAAAAACATTCCACACACCTCACATACCCTTTACACTAGAGGAAAAGGCATAGGACTTGCGTCCTTTAATCTTAGCCTTTCATGTGCTGAGGCAGGAGAAAAAGAATTTAGCTAATCTCTGTGCAACCCCCACCCCCACCACTTCACCTGATCTCCCAGCCTTTCTGCATTGCCTGGAGGCTGGCAACAAGCCGTCTCCTGTCCTAAGGTGATGAGCTCACCTCAGGGTAAGAGACTGCAATGAAACAGGATTTATGGAGGGAGGTAAAATGTATCAGTTTAGCGTCTGTGATCTGTCTGTCTCTTACCAGTGACCTCTGTGTTTCCAGGGTGGAATTTCTCAGGCCATCTTCTGACATGATATCCCAAGAAAAGAGTATTATTTGAAAATCTTTGATGCCTCATCCAATTTAATCCTGATCATTGAAAAATGCTGAACATAAAAGAGTTTGGGCAAGAGAAAAAAAGCAAAGAGTTCTTCTGGAGAATATTATGGAAGATACATTTTAAAAAATTGTGATATATTCCCAAGTTATTCTGAACAAATAATAGCGATGTCATATTTGTATCAATCTTCTTAAAAAAACACTTGGGTAGTGGGGCTGTTTTTATCCCCGTGCACCACATCAGAGGTGAGGTTCTCAGCTGTAATGACTGATGTTACATGATCATTACAGTGGTGTGCGCTTTAAAAATAAAGCACTGCAAAGTCTATGCTGCTCTCTTATTGCACCATATACCTCTGAGCTCATGAGAACCTCTTCCACATGTTCAGATGGATATCTTGCTGCTCATTCAATACATTTCTTTTGTTGGTGTTAAAAGAAGGCAGAGAGGTTCAACATTATGTGGTTTACTGAGAGGAAGGCAGGTCCAGTGATAATGTTAGTGATCATTTACTGTTTTGTGGACTATCTGGAGACAGAGTATGATAGAGTTCACTCTTGAAAGGGCTGCCTTAGGGATAATGAGATACAGTCCAGCTTCCGATTTCACCCACAAAGAAAAGGAAGGTGTTTCTGCAACGATGTCAAAGTTGAGGAGGCCTGTGAACAGAAGTAACCAGGTCAAACTATCAAAAAATCTGCTTGTCAGACAGATGGAGAAAAGCATCACCTAAAAAGGAAATACAATTTAAAGTATAAGCCCTTTGGCAAAATGTTCACTTTGATGATAAACATACTCATTATTATCCAAACATATATCAAACTCAGTCTTCTCAGCCTAAAGCTGGAAATATTATATTAACTTAAGGCTGACACTGCAGACGTGCTCCTAAAGTTCTTCAGAATGATAATTAGCTTAAAACTCTAAAATAAATAACTCTTTAAGCCATGTTGATTCAAATTTTCAATTTTGAGTGGACAGGAAGTATAAAAGGAAATGAGAAGTGGGGAATGCCAGCAGCTAACATGTTATCTCTGCAGTGGAATTCAACTCTGCGCCCCTCCCCAGTGCCTACATGCCCACATCGGTTACAGACAGGGACCTCGAGTACTCCCAGCTGTAAAAATTTAAGAAATACTTGTTATGTATCAGAGTCTACTTGGAGGAGGACGTATTATCGAAACACTGTAGAACATCACATACAGGAATAGTTCTGACTTTTACAGTAGCAATACCTGTATCAAAAGATAACTAGTACTCCATTTAAATGTAAAGAGAGAAAAAACCTTGATAAGCAAACAGGAAAGTATCACAGTCACACTTGTAACTGACTGACGTACTTATTCTAGAAAAGGCTGTCCAAACATGGATGAACATGGATGAACAGTAACTCTCAATAGTGTTCTGTCTCTGAAACCCTTGAACAACTCACTAATCTAGCTAATATTATTAGCAGTGGCAAAATGTCTATTCAAAGTCAATAATTAAATTAAACATTCTCCTTCATGTCCAATGAGCCACCATAACTAGCAAATCAAGCAGATGTCTGCCTGTCTTTTTCAAGACTCTCAAGTCTCCCTATGTATAAACTCTGTGTGGAATCTGAACACACACAATTAATTAGGCAAAAAAGGAATTTCTTAGGTAATAATTGGTGAAACAGAACTTAAAAAACTCTGTCCCCCCTCCTTTGCCTTTTAAGTTCCCATTTCCTAACTCACCTCCCTCCCCCAGCCTAGGACCCTTTGCTTTCTGACTTTCCCCACTTCTCCCAATAGAGCTTTTCTCAGAAAAGGATTTCTTTTGATCTGTAGTTTACATCACTGGCAAGGCTTCAGGTGTTATCTTCCAGAAGCAAGATTTTTTAATAACGACACAGTATCAGAACGTCAGGCAACAGTACCCTTGAAATTACATCTTCTTCTAAGGCAAATATTTCTTAACAAGTGGTCCACAAGTTCTGCATCAGCATCACCCAAGAACTTACAAAAATGCATATTCTCTATGCTTCACCATAGAGATTTTGATTCATTAAGTCTAGGGTGAGGCTCAGTATTTTTGAAGTACATTGAAGTTTGAGAACCAGCAGTTTAGGTGTTAAGAGCATGAAGTTTGCCATCAGCAGATGTGGTTCTGCTTTGTGCATCCTGTGATGCTGGGGAAGTTAATCTTCATCACATACGTTTTGCTCATCTGTGAGATCAGGATAATACCTCCTTTGTAGTGCTGTTATGATGAGACAATGCATGTCAAATGCCAAACCGTCAGAACTCTTTTAGTTGTGATTCAATGAAAACCTAATTAGCCCACAAAACTGAAAATTCTTGAGGAAGACCTGGCTTCACAATGTACTTGATCTATAACTCAGTACGACCTTTTTTTTTTCCAGTCTCCTTTTCTTACGTCTGACTTTTGCAACCATGACTCCATTCTCAGATTGGCTATTCCTGTGTAATTACAGGATAGCTGCAGAAACTGAAACATGACATTTTTCCAGGTTCAAATTTCAGGACATAGAGTAAAAACGATTCTCTCTGATTAGGCTGTCTGAGATCATGTATCTGTTGGGAGCCACCCCTCCATGTGTCTCTTACCCTCCATACACTTTGCTGGGTATGCCAAGAGTATGAGGCTCTGGCACTTTTTACCTGGATTGCTTCTCAAGGTTGTGTCTGCAGCAAGCAATCTTGAGCATAGACCACGAGAAGGCTTGATTGCTGCTACTATAAAGTGGTGGTTTCCCTAAGATCAGTGTCCCCCAGCTGTGCCTCAGCCAGACTGCAGCACAGCATCCACTTGGGCTCGTGCTGCTTCACCGCCATGAGAGTCAGGGACAAATGGGGCTAATGTAAATCATGTTGTGTACTGGCTGCACCACGAGTAATAAAGTCCTCATCTCTGACCTGGAAATCCTGTGTCTTCTGCCAGCATCTATGAAATAGCAAAAGACCAATTGATTAGCTTGTAAGTAGAGTAAAATTAAATTCCAGATCCTGGTAGTATCTACCACTGAACCCATTAGCCAGGCCTGGGGATTATGGTTGGCTGGGCCTGGGTGATCTACTCTACTTTTGGAGCTGGGAGTGTTAATTCCACCTGGAAGTGGGAGGGGCAGTGAGGGGGGATTCCCAGAAGAAAAGTTATATACAATTACCCAAAGTAGATAATGAAGGGTATGTTATGTGGCAAAAATAAAATTAAGTAAGAACCATTTACAACTGTCTAGCATAGATTCAGGAGCCAGATATATATCTGTATCTAAATATATATATATATATGTCTGTATTTATATCAGATTATATACATATATCAGATTATATGTATTTATATATCAGATTATATATATATATATATCAGGTTATCTGCAAGAGGAAGTAGAAAATTAAAGTGATTCAGGTTTTAAAATTCTGCTATTTGATCTAGTCATATATTTAAGTATTAAGTAAGTAGGAAATACTTTAAATATACCAAATTTTATTTCTTTAAATGTTAGCACATATGAACGTTGAGCAAAATTTATTTTTATTTATGTAATAAAAAGAGAACGAATATTAATTGTTACCAGGAAAAGGAAAATAAGAATTACCTTGGTTCTTAGTCACCCAAATAAAGAATTTTTGATGAGAGACAAAAAGCATGATATAGGCAAGATTTTCATCAGTGAAGTAAAAAAGTAAAAGTACACACCCAAGAATCGAGAGCGGGCCAGTCCAAGAGAGGAAAAATGGCACTGCTCCTTTGTTTTTCCTGTTTTTATATCTTGGTTTTATGATTGATTGATTAACTGATTGATTGTTTGACTGATTGACAACTCAAGTTCCCTGCGCTCTGGTTGACTGACAGCTCAGGTTCCTTGTGTTCCGGATTGTTCCTTTCTCCCCTTCCTTTCCCCCTGCCCAGTGCTCATTTCTATCTAAACTACCTAACATAATGATATTATTTGGAAAGGTCAAAGTATATCTCATAAATACTACTGACAAGATTCCATATGACCTCAAGAAAATGAACCATTCTGTGCATCAGATTCTATATCTTTAAAATGAGAATAATTAGACATCAATCCAGATTAGTAATAATTTACTACATTCCCACAGGATTAATGACATTGTTTAAATATATTTTAAAATAAGGTTATAAAGGCATTTTAATGTTATACAGAGCATACAGCTAAGCATATTGAAGATGGTATGGAGATTAGGAACATATATGAACAACATGAAGTGATTTACAATGTTTGGTTGGGCCAGCTCTGAAGTTACATTTTACCATGAGCAATTGGGAAAATGTTTGCTTTAAAACAGTTTTAAGTAATAGAAATCAGATAGCCCACCACAGCCTGAAATAGGTACCAATGATTAGGAAAATAGCATCCAAATATTTGGATTTCCTTCTGTTTTACTGTGGCTTACAAATGTATTTGTGCTACATATTTGGGGCCTGAAATACCATCATGAAGATAACCAACTCGCATGAATTAGACTGACAGTTTCAGTTCCCCTCAGGTTTTATGGCAGTTACATAAAGCTGTCAGTAACCAGAGTTTAAAATATAGCATCAGGGCAGGCAGGGAAGAAAAGAGAAGTAACATTTATTCAGTACCTCCTTTGTAAGTAATACATTTTTTTCTAGGTGCTTTATATATGCTATTTCATTTGGTCTTCACCAAGATTCCTATGAACTAGAAATCTTTATTTCTCTTACAAAGCAAGAAAAGAGAGAGAAACAAACAAAAACACCACCAAAGAAACTTGTCCAGCATGTTAAAGCTGGTGGTTGGCAGGACCAGATCTAAAAGGCAGACCTATCGACTCCAAGAACATGATCCTTCTACCCCATCAGTTAAAGGTCTTTTAAATGGCACAGAGATTCCATTCCATGAACTACACTGAAATGGGAAAAGTCTGACTGTTACCTCAGGTTTTACAAACTACAGTGACCAAAATCAAATGTGAAAATGTACCACTCTACTCACAGTCCGTACTTAACGGATGAAAAAATAAAATAAATTATTGGTAGATACTAAAGAAGTTATCACATACCTCACAGAGACAATCTGATTGCCTAGGAGAAATGCCAGTTTCACCTCTACGTCACATGTGGCCATGTCAAGAACTGCTCTAAAGAAGGAAATGCCAGAGCTCAGTGATTATGTAGGTGGGGTTAGAAATCAGAATGCCTGGTTTAGAATCCTGGCTTTGAAAATCACTGGCTATGTCACTATAAGCAGATTATTTATATACTCATGCCTCATATATCTTAATTTAAAAATGTGAGTAAAAATAATTTATGTCTCACAATGTTAGCAAAGTAACAATAAGTCTTTTCAGCATTTTTTAAACACTTGAATAATCCTTTTCATTTGCAGAACTATCATAGAGACAGTGATAGGTGAAGAACAATGCAAACCAGAAAGTTTTCTTTCCACTTATGATGATATGGTAAACGTGTTCTAATTAATAGGAATTAAATAATCAAGAAACATTAAAATAATTATCAGATACTATCATTAAAATGGCCATTGGAATAGGACAAAACCCCGGAGTTTAAGAAGGCAAAATTCTAGATGAGCAACATTAATTCAGTCCCATAACTATGATAAACAACTTTTAGGACATTAGTAACAGTTGGGATTTCTTTCCTCTCTATTTAAACTAGTCAGTTGTTCTGCTGTAACAATAGTGTAAAGTAATTAAAGAGCATTAAACTCAATCTTTTTATCTGGCAGTCTATCCAGTTAAGAGGTCATGCCATTTATCAGGATACCCATTAAATAGAATACCCTGAATTATTCAAATGAATAGAGTCTAGTTAAGGAAAGATGAGAAACTCAGAAAAAAAATTGTTCCCAAATATTAAACTCTGATTTATTAAACTATAAAAAAATTATTTTCTTACAAATTCTTCTTTTTGTAAATTATCTCACTGAATCCATGAGCAGAAGGAGTAGCATGCAAAACAAGGAGGTAGAGATGCGAAGCACAATTTGAAACAGCTGTGGACACTTTAAAGCTGGGGTCTGCCAAGTTTTTTTTTTTTAATGTGTGCTTTCTCACCTGCAGCTGCATCTCTCTCATTTGCAAACCAAGGATGGATCTATAAAGAATAAAATTGATGACTGCATCAATTCCTCTGAGAGTTAATCTTTTTCCTATGGCACTATCTTCCCCAAAGTGAGAATCTCTACAATCATCACAAGCAACATCGGGTTACAATCCATTTTAAAATGAAGTAAAACAGACTGCACTCTGAATTGAATATATATTCAAATTTCCCTATCATTTTTTTTTTCAGACAAAAGCCCAGGGGAAACCAAGGGGAAGCAATTGGCAAGCCAAGTGATGGGTTCTTGCAAATTTGGTGAGTAGCAATGAAGAGGATGGAAGGTCAACCAGGATTTGCTTGGGCAAGACCCAGTTCCTGCTCTCTCTTCCTAAAGCACAGACGGCAGGAACCTGATTTCCCAGTTGTTTTCTGTTAGTCTATAGATTCCCTTTGGGCCATTTATCTTTGATCCCTCAGCGCCAAGGAACAGCCATCTGAAAGCAGTCAGGAGCAGGAACTTGGAGCTCAGTCACTTAATAGCTTAGGTAAGTGACTTCATAGCTTCACCTTAGCTTTAGTTTCCTCATCTTTAAAATAGAGTAATAACAGAACCTATATCATAGGATTGTTATGAAGATTAAATAAGTTAATATTCGTAAAGCACCCAGAACAATACTTGGCACACGAGTTTTCTAAGCATACAGCAAATATCAGAACGTTGATGGATTTATTAAGACAAGGCAAAGCCTTGAAGTCATTGATTTTGGTATTGGGACCACAGCTTACCTCTTGAGTGTTTCTCTCCCTGCTCTGGTCTTCTGGAATCTCCCCCACATGCGCTGCTCACTCACAGGTCAACTAATTTTTCTTAAGTACAAGTTATTATTGACTTACTATGAATTCCTGAATCCTAAATGTGTTGGCTTTCTAACGGGAGTTAACACTGGTTCCCTAACCTGGCTGCATAACACACACACCCAGGAAACCTTTTAAAAACATAGATTCCAAATGCCCAATTTAAGAAACTCTTGAAAATAAGGCCCAGGCATCAGTTGGAAACAAGATTTCCACAGGATTCTGACATAGGTGGTTTCACCAACTGGTATTGAACCTCACCTGAACTCAAAAGATTTCACAAAGCAAAGTATTGCATTTGTAGCAAAGAAATTTTGGGTGCTGTGGTTAATCTATCAGTAGTGGAGCTGTTTTTTGCAGTATGGGACCTTCTCTTGTTCTTCAGTTTGCTCCATACCATCATCAGAGTTGCCTGGCGTTCAGTGGCTCTTCAGAAGTCCTCTGTAAATCTCCTAATACAAGAGTGTTGTTGCCAGTCCCTCTTTTACTGGTATCATTTTCAAGGGCGATGGAAAATAATCATCCTTACATTCTTCCTCTTTGACATTTTTTTTCTGCAAGACACTTCTCTTCATGGGAATCAGATTTTGTAAATGTGTAAGTTTCTGTAGCTTTCCTTTCCATGTGCTTCATTACTCTCGTGGGTCTTGGTTCATGCCTCATCAATTATTTAAATTTAAAAAAGTGTATATAACATTATTAACCATAACCTCTTCTACTGCATCTTTTCTAGTTATCTCAAGTGACTAGCATATGTAATACAAGGTCCCTGAGCAAAAAGAGATTGTTTCTTTGATATTTTAGTTCATTAATCATCACAAAAATGGAGACTATGCTGGGGCCTGAGGAGGCTGGGATTGTGATTGGTGGGAATAGTATGGTGATGATGACAATGACTACTATCTCTGTTATCCTTATTATGACCTCCTGCCTATAGTTGATAGTGAATACAGGTCCCTGTGCTATACAGTATGATCTTCTTTATCTATTTTATATATAGTAATTAGTATCTTCAAGTCTTGAACTCCCAGTTTATCCCTTCACACTCCCATTCCCCACTGGTAACCATTAAGTTTGTTTTCTATGTCTGTGAGTCTGTTTCTGTTTTGTTCATTTGTGTCATTTTTTTGATTCCACATATAAGTGATATCATACAGTATTTCTCTTTCTGGATTACTTCACTCAGTATGACAATCTGCAGGGCCATCCGCGTTGCTGCAAATGGCATCATTCCGTTTTTTATGGCTGAGTAGTATTCCACTGTATAAATATACCATGACTTCTTCATCCAGTCATCTGTAGATGGACATTTAGGTTATTTTCATGTCTTGGCTATTGTAAATAGTGCTGCTGTGAACACTGGGGTGCATGTATCTTTTTGAATTAGAGTTCCCTGTGGATATATGCTCAGGAATGGGATTGGTGGATCATATGGTACATCTATTTTTAATTTTTTAAAGAATCTTCACACTGTTTTCCATAGTGGCTACACCAAACTACATTCCCACCCACAGTGTAGGAGGGTGAAGGTTACTTCTGAGTTAGAAAATACATATTTTAATATTATGTCTAGTAAGTTAAAAACTCAAATAATATTCTTAGAAATCAAAGATTAGTGAAAACATGACTTTGTAAATATCCTGATTCTGCATCTGTTTTAATTGCTTGTCCCCAACAATGTTTTATTTATTTTACAAAAATGACAAATTTTAGACAGTAAATTGGCAACTGTGTGTCCTTAAATTAGTATCTTGCTTGAAAGGATTGTATTCACTTTATTTGCACTGTATGTGGATTAACATCCCTAGACAAGTAATATTGGTGAATAATACTTTGCACAGCTGAAGTGTTATGAGAAAAAGTTCCTTAAAAGTTGTGTTTTTCTTTTATCTTGGGATTTGACTTTTTATGAAACCACCATGACTCATCATCCATTCTGGCTAGAAAAGTCCTATCTCTGTTCTTTAGGGTAGAATATCAATTGTCCTATTTATAGTATAAATAGATAATCTCAGAATCAGCAATTCTTTGCCATGAAAAGGAGCTGTTGAGAAATATACATTTATTTTACATATTAACAGAGATATCTGGCAGCATCCAGTGTTATATTTATTGAGCAGATTTTTTATAGGATCAGATTTTTACAAGGGCACATGAGTCTTTAGGTTACCATGAAACATTACTCTAAATTTCATAAATTGTGTAATTAATAATTGACAGATGTTGTTTTAGTTGATTTACTCTTTGGTTGAAGAAAAACTAAACCAAAAATTTACTGAAGTTTTCTCGATTTCTCATTTCCAGAATTCACTTTCCATCTCAGTTCCTAGAGTTAAAGAAAATGATTAATCAAAGTTATAAATAAAGTATTAGCATAATTTATAGAAAAAATATAATACTCTGCACTAAACAATGCCATAGAAAATAATCTAAAATTATATATAAATGAATCTAATTTAAACGTATTTAAATGAATATATGTTTAAATCTTAACATTTAATCTTTAATCTGAGGCAGACAAAATCATTTTTGTGGTATATTTGTCTGATTTAATTAGAAGCCCCCCTCTTTGAAGAGTAGCTACCGTCATTGCCTTTGAAGAGCTTTTCTTTTTTAAAGAGTGGGTCTTGACCTATAAAGGATTCGTATTACAGTTCTTAAGTTAGTATTTGAAAATGGAGATTGAAGTAAATGAAATGCAGTGGTTTCTAAAACTTTATTGAATCCCAGACCCTCTTTGAGTTTAAATTTAAAAGAAAACCAATCTTATTTCGTGGATGGGTGGAGAAATTTCCAACCATATCGCATCAAACATTTTGACAAACATGGAAATGCAAAGAAGGTACAGTTGTTAGTGGAAAACTATTATTTGCTACTGTGCAAACCAATGTTAACTTTCTCATTCATACAAGAAATATTTTTAACTGCCTACAACCCCAAACAAGACAAGCTCTCTACTTTCACGCACTCTAGTAGGGTGAGACAGACAATAAACACATAAATATAAATATATTAAGAGCTATCATGGAGATAAAGCAAGGTAATATAAGACGGTGTTTCTGGGAGACTAAAATTGAGTTGTCAGAAAATGCTCTTCAGAGGGGCTGCTATTTAAGGTAAGACATAAATGATCTATAGGAGACGGTCCTGGAAAGACTGAAGGGAAGGGCGCCCCAGCTGAGGACCTAATATGGGAACGATGTATTCCAGGAACAAACTAGAGACTGAGCAGAAGAGGATGAGCAGGGAAGAGGAAGTGGCCAGTGAGGAAGGAGGAAAATCTAGACAGGAACATGACTCTGTAAAGAGGAGCCAAATGTTTATGAGAAGTCTAGTAAGATAAGGACAATTAAGTGACCATTAATTTGATAGAATGTGGGTCTATGCTGACCTAACATAGCACAGTTTCAAAGGAATGGGATAAAAGCTCATTGCAATGGGCTGAGGAAAGAAACAAATGAATAAATGGAGATAAGTACAGTCAACACTTTTGCAAAGTTTTTCTCCAAAACAGAGATGAGAAATATGGCAGGAGCTGGAGGAAGAAATCAAGAGAACGTGTTTGCACTAGTGGGAATAATTAAGTTCACAGGGATAAACTGATGAAAAGAAGGAGTACCCCAGGAGGGGATTCCCGGAGCAGCAAAGGCACGGGCTGGAGAGCCTGCGCCCGTCCTGGCTCTGGTGGAAGCCAGCGTGCTCATCTCTTACAATGAGAGGTGTGAGAAAGTGGGGGCACCGAACGCGTACTGCCTCTTGGAATGGAGACTGGCGATTTGGGGATACGTGAAAAGGGTGACAATCTCATTTT